TGCTTCTGCAACAGTAACATACACATCGCGATGGATCTGGAAATACAGAATGAGATCAAAGGACATAAAGGTCACCCTGCATACTTTTTAATTTTGTTGTTGTTGTTAATCCTCACCAGAGGATATTTTTCCATTGATTTTTAGAGAGAGTAGAAGAGTGGGGGGAGACAGAGAGAGAGAACATTGATGTGAGAGAGACACATCGATTGGTTGCCTCCTGCATGTGGTATATCCCCTTGAGTGGAATCAAACCCAGGACCCCTTTAGTCTGAGCCAAACCTATAGGGCTGAACTTTTTAATTAAAAAAAATAAAATATTTTTATTGATTTCAAGTAGGAAGGGAGAGGGAGAGATAAGAAACATCAATTATGAGAGAGAATCATTGATCACTACCTCTTGCACACCTCACACTGGGGATCGAGCCCGCAACCCAGACATGTGCCTTGGTTGGGAATGGAACCGTGACCTCCTGGTTCATAGGTTGACGTGCAACCACTGAGCCATGCTGGTTGGGCTGTACTTTTTAATTTTTAAATGTACTTTATACACAAAAGATAGAAATTAAGTAATAATTACTTACTTTAGTAATAGTTTTTTGTGTGTAAAAAATATATATAAAAACTCTGATAAAAGTCACCAACTATACTGAATGCTCCTTGAGGTAGAAATACTATTTTAAATTTTATCCACCACTGAATCTATATAATAAGCAATAAATATTGGTCACATTGATAAATTGATGGATATATTTAAAATTATTCATAAAGTATTTATACCTTTTTAAAAAAAATTTTTGTATTGATTTTAAAGAGGGAGATACAGAGAGATAGAAACATCGATCAGAAACATCCATCTTCTGCCTCTTACACACCCCCTATTGGGGATTGAGTCCAAAACCCAGGCATATATACTCTGCCTGAGAATTGAACCAGGGATCTCTTGGTTCATAAGTTGACATTCAACCACTGACCCACATCAGCCGGACTCCATACCCTTTTTTCAAAAAAAAGTTGAAATTATATTTTTGGTAGTTGTAGCTTTTTGTAAGATTATTCAACTTCGTGAATGCCCCTTTAAAGAGTGTAAAGTTTTTAGTGTATCTTTAAGCTTTTAGCTATGTTTTCCTGGATAATTTTTTTCATCATCTTTTGAATCTAAAATTTGAGGCAGTATTATCTGGCTTTGTTGGTAAAGATATTAGGAACTCCTATTTTCCACTTTCTTCTCATAAAACTTTCATAAACCATTTGTTACAGTATTATAAGAGGATATTAGCTGTTCGAGTAAAAAGATCTATCTAAATTATAGGCAACAATAGAAATTGTTAGAGATGATACTTTTCTCAATGACCTTTTCCACTCAAAGTATGTAGCTGTTCCAGGAATGTTTGCAGTTGTCAGTTATGGAATTTGCTTGTCAGGAAATCTAAAAATGACTCCTTTAATATCCATTCCTTGGATGAGCTCAGAAAGCTTTAGGAAAAATTGGGAAGGTTTATATCCATATACTAGATTCAAATAATGAACAAAGTACATACAGCTAATTTTATTGGTGCTATGAAATCAGGAATGAAAGTTACTGTGTAAATGTTTTTAAAATGCCAAGTAGTGCTTTACTCAAACCAAATGAGTATTCTTCCAGAGCTTGTTATTTGAAAGCTTTTTTCTTTTTAAATATGTGAACTTTTGTAATGAAGATAAATAATCGTATCCAGAAAAAAAGAGCTAATATCATAGACAGATTTTAATAT